AATTTTACACAAAATTCACCTCCTAGTTTTAAGAAAAATGGCCAAGTTTCAGCTTCCAACTCATTGTACATGATTTTATAAAATCCAGACAAGTTTTTCAACAAAAACGAGTTTAAATTAAAAGCACATGATAATGGATGATTCAGGCCACGAAAGTTTTACCTAAAACATTACAGCACATTAATAGCAACATATAAAAATACTAGGCTTTAACACTCAGCAAGTGATTTTATAAAATTAAAACAACATTCAGCCAAATACAGCACTTACAACAGAACTGACCTCAAATGAACTCCACAACTTACAAACTTTTTACAGCATGCTGAACATCACATACTAAGCACCTCCACAAATTTTCAGAATTTTTCAGCTTCAGCACAATTTATAACAATTAAAACAAAATGGGGCAGAAATACCAAATAAATCATTAACTCTATCAAACCCAGTTTAAAAATTCTAAAAATTTTATAAAACTTATAATTATTCCTGGGACACAACATATTCAAAAATTAGCCAGAAAAGAGCACTCCACAATTAATTATGCATTTTTCAAGAAACTGAACAGAAATCAAATTAATTTTTAAAAATCGCTAAACACCTTTAAAAATCATGAAAATTTTACAGAAACTACATAATCACAAACAACAACTGATCCTAAAATTTCAAGTAAATCGGACCAGTATTCGATTTATAATGAATTTTCATTCTAAACAGCGATTATAACATTCGAAAAATCATAACTATCAATCTACAAGTCCGATCGACACAAGGTCAGCACCATTGTGTTCGAAATAATCCTAAGTTCCTAAATCCACAGCAACTTAACACTTTTAACGTGTTCTCGTTCGATTCGCACGAATCGACCAAGATCACGTATAATACGACATTAATATTCAAACGTAATCACATAAAATCATATTCACAATTACACAGCACGTTCAACACCCGTCTCACATAATCGCACACATAAAAATAATACATAGAATTAAACGAGACGGGTCGAGCCTTGTACCGTTCTCGAGACTCGATCGAAAAACTAGACGAACGAGGGTTGACGGGAGAGGAAAAATGGCTTGAATGGGCTCGACGGGGTGCTGCTCGCAAACTTGGCCTTTACTTCTTCTTCTTCCTTGCAAATACTCACGCTCGCTGCCCTGCTCGAACACCAACGGACAAAGGTCTTATGCTGTTATGGGTTTAACCGGCTATGGTCGACCCTCTCTGAAGTCGCCGGCTAAGGAAGATTGACAGGACCTGCTGCTCGCCGGGAAGGATGCTGCTCGCGGCTAGGGCCCTGGTTCATGGCGATCTGATGGCAGTCGGAGATGGAGGGTTCTCGACGTGATGATGGCGGAGGAGCAGAGATTCGTGATCGGGGGAAGGGTTCGCCGGTCAGGGTTCGCTGGTTCGCGGCTGTTCGTGGTGGTAGGAGGCACCGGAAGTTGCAGGTGAGCGGAGGATGATGGCGACAGATTTGATTGGGGGTGAGTGAGGGTTTAACAGATAAGAAAAACGAAGGCTGCGGGTTCTCTTTCTAATCTGATTTTGCGCGAGATTAATAGAGACTTAGGGTTAAAGACTTGAAGCTCAAGACACAACACACTCTGTTTGGGCCGGATTTCACGGGCTCGCGGGTTTCGGTTTGAAAAAGTAAATCGGCTCACGGGCTCGATTTCGGTTCAAACGAATATCGTCGGGCTCGATTACGAATTCAAACGCGCGATAAAAATAAACCGAACAATATATATTTTACATATATATATATTAATACACATTATTTACATTAATAATTTAGTAAATAACAAAAATCAATTAGACAATTAAACATTTAGCATTTAATCACATTTTAGCAAATAAATAATATTATGGCATTCAAGAAAAAAAATAAATATAAGTATTATCACAAAAATAATAACAACAATAATAATAACAATAAAAATAATAATAATATTCTCAAATAATCCACAAATAAATGGGGTATTACAGTTTTAGTACTTTTCGTTGGTCAGTCGTCTTTGACTAACGGCTGACTTGCTACAACAGGTGAAAAGATCTAGGGTGATACACTTTTGTTACGTATACCACCTTTTCGCTTTTGGTGCCCAAGGTTCCAACTTAATCAGTTTTGGGCACTAAAGTTTTTAAAATCAATCGTTTTTGGTTCAAACATTAAAAAACCAGTTAAAATTGATGGTCGTCGCCGCCTCTGGTAGCGAATTTCAACAAATTATATACTATTTTGAAGCTCTCGACTCGACCTATCTAACAGTCCTTTTATTTTACCATATGATATCTCAGGATTTGTAAAATTCGTTGTTTAACGTTCCAAAAAATTTTGGTAAAATCATGCCTCGGAGTTTCACCGTGTGCTACCAAAGATCCCACCGTTGTTTTTTCATGAAAAATATACGTATAGAAAACACCTTTTTGGTGGAATCCCAACAGTATATGCTGATAGTAAATCAAATTCCTCGATCGTTGGAGGTAATCCTGCGAAGTCTCCAGTTGTTCCAGCCGCAACAACTCGCCGAAAAACTAAAAACCTCTTCGGCTTATATTCGGAGATCGTTGGAGAAAAAGATCATTGTGACTAATTGTCCGGTTTGTTCGTCCCCAATTCTGCAAAGCTAGGGCTTGCCGGCTCTTCATCCCTCGTGCGTTGTTGGATCATTCAATCGCCGGCTCTTCATCCCTTCCGACAGCGTGACGCTGGCATAGTCCGCTGCAACCGCAGGGATATGTTTAGTGATGTAAATTTGTTAAATGATTTTCGCGAATTTTCGTCATATAACTCTTGATTTTCAAGAGGAAGTTAAAGAGAATATGATGTGGATCATATTTAAGGAGATATGAAACCAATATTCTCTATATTGATTTTTTTTTCTTTGTATTGCAACTAATTTATCAATATCATACATGATTGTTTGGTTATAGTCACAATGACCCTTTTCCCTTTGATCTCCATATATATAAGCCGGAGAAGTTTCCACTTTTTCGGCGAGTTGTTGCGACTGAAAAAACTAGACACTTCGTCAGATTATTTCCGACGATCAAGGGACTCGATTTACGAAATACACGTTTAGATTTCACAAAAAATGTATTTTTATACGTATATTTTTCATAAAAAAAACAACGGTGGGATCTTTGGTAGCACACGGTCAAACTTTGAGGCGTGATTTGGCCAAAAAATTTTGCCAAAATTTTTTGAAACATTTAACGACGATTTTCACGAATCGAAAGATACCGTTTGATAGGCTGAGTTGAGAGCTTCAAAATGGTATATAATTTGTTGAAATTCGCCACCGGAGGCGGCGGCGGCGGCTGAAGGTTATGGCTGTCAATTTTAAATGGTTTTTTAATGTTTGGACAAAAAATGATTAATTTTGAAACTTTAGTGGTCTAAACTGATTAAGTTGGAACTTGGGGTACAAAAATTGAATTTTTTCCCCCTTCCATACAGATCTTTTCACCTGCTGTAACAGGTCAGCCGTTACCCATTAATCAAAGATGGTTGACCAATGGAAAGTACCAAAACTGATGGTGGGACAAGTATAGGGTATGTAAAATGATTAAGTGAATAGATAAGGTCTCGAAAGTGAAAAGAGGAAATAGTTAATTATCAAAACAACATTTTTTCTCTACTTATAATACTACATATCCTCTTTAATTTAACTCGTAATTTTTTTTATATAATTTAAATAGAAATGATCCCTATATTATTATTATATTTAATGTTTGTAAAGTTCACATACTTGTTGTATCTTATTGCCAATGAGAATTTCATAAAACAAGGGGTGCATGTTCCATTATTCCCTGGGATATAAACAAAGTTTTATGTGGGTGCAAAGGCAAATCACCTCCTTTTTTCATTGAAGTCACAGAATCCATGAAATTTTCAATATCAGGTGTACACGGAGGGCATGACGAAATTAAACGAACAAAGGATTGTAATTTTAATCAATTAATGTACAGAAAATTGGAAAAATGTGTCTAAAGTTATCACAATTCGTATGTTGTAGGAAGACCTATCCACAAAAGATGCCTTCTGGGCCGATCCAAAACCCTTGCTTGCCAAGCAGGTTCATCACTTTCTAAACTGAAACCACTTTTTATGTACAGATTTTTAGCCGCCTCATTATCCACAGCTACGTGAACGTACAAGTCGCTTATTCATTGAGAACAAGACTCATGCTACTAAAGGTATCAAAATATAATACCTCTCACTAATGCAACAACAGTGACGAGCAAACTGAATAATATGATTAGTTTCTCTAGGTTTCCACATTTGGGAAAATGAGGAACAATCTCAATTTACACACACAGACACAAGGCAGATAATGATTCATTCAAGTAACTATATGTGATGATTTGACAAATAGTGGCTCCCACAAGTATAGACATACGTGTTTTGTACTTACCCCATTTTTCAGCAACTCTCATTGATTATTATTATTATTATTATGAGATTATGCATTGCATGTGCAACTTGCTAGTTTTATCTAAGTGGCCACAACTATGTCATACTTTTCCATAACTGAGTAGTGTCATTGTACAAACACGAATCATCGCCTCATCTGAGCCGCTACTCGAGGCTTGAGCACAAAAGCCCCCATGAGAAAGTAGTAGTGAAACAGCTTCAGTGCAACCTTTTCAGCACAACACTCATAACAACATTGTTCTTAATTATTTCATGTTATATTATATCATGTCCTAAGGGTAAAACCAAATATAAAGCTTATCTATGCAAGACACTTTGATATTCCTCAACTAAACTGAACCCGATTCAAAATCATGAGCAAATTTTGGAAAAACGTACAAAACTGATACCTCACGAATCGCTGCCACGAAAGATAGACTATAATAATTATGAAGGAAAGTAGAGATGCAATAACATTAGTATCCTTCACTTGTGAAAATTCCACAGTCAGAGAAACTCACAGAACGAATAAAAACAGTCAGTCTTTACCATAAAATGTCGAAAAACAAAACAACCGATTACCCTACGACCTGCCGGCCTTCTGCCTGGCCTTCTCCACCAGAGTCCTCAGCTGCTTCTTCTCGGCCAACACCTTCAACAAATTGAAAAGAAACGGTATATAATTATGCCTGCGCCTCACATTCTCCGTCCTCCACTTCCTAAACTTCTCCTCCTCCGCCGCTATCCCTTCCTTGGCCGCCTCTATCCCCAAATTTATCTCCGCCAGCTCAGCATCCGCCACCTCAGCATCCCCCCTCCTCCTCTGCAGTTCCTCCAGCTCAGCCGTATACACCTCTTTCCGGTTCTTGATCACCGCCAACAAGTTAAACCGTATCTCGTTTCGCGAGTACCTCTCGACCCTCTCCTGGATAACCGGCACCACCGCCCTCAGCCACTCACTCCCGTCGCCAGGTGGCAGCGGGCCCAAGCTAATCGGGCCCTGCTTGAGCCCGTCGAGCTCATAGAGTGTCCCGTCAAAGGGTATGTAGCTTATGAAGTGGTAGACGTCGTCGTCTTTGCCTGCGGCCCGCTGCTCGTCGGGAACAAAGGGTTCGGGCCTCGCGAAACTGTTGTGGGCCGTGCGGATGGCCTCGCTGTTGTTGATGGCGAGGCCCTTGAGGTCGGGTGGGAAGTTTCGGGTGAAGTCTTTGAGAGCGGAGAGCTCGGGCCCGATGTCGACTTCCGGGCTGTTCATGAGAATGGAGAGGATTGCTTGGGTAGCGCAGGCGTTGTTTATGACCTGTTGCAAAAAATGCAGCAAATATGGGGGATCGTTTATGGAATTTTTCAAAAAAATTCCGACATTTTAATTCAACCACTTTTTTCAACTCAAACTCCACTATCATCAAAATTATCAATATTATCAAATAATATCAATCAATCATTCATACACACCACATCAACCTTAATTCACTATTCATTCACTCACATTATTTTAACTAACCATCACTTCAAATATCTCTCTCCTACTTTTACATCAAATCAATTTTAATTATTTTATTTTAAATATTATTTTAATATACCCACTAACAACTAACCATACCACCTTTTTCAAAATTAACCAAACCAAATCAAAAAATTCAAACACAACCAAAAATTTTTATAAACAAACATGCTCTTAAATTTGTTGTCGTGTGATTGAATAAGCAGTAATGGATTTTGGGTGCTGACCTGGCTGGCGAAGAAGAGGTTGGGGTTCGGGTCAGAAATTATGGGGCGGTCGTCCTTTTCGCCGGATCGCCATTTGAAGAGGAAGATTAACCCGTACACCGGCCTGTAGATTGGAGAAGATGAAAAAGAAAAAAAAATGATTGCAAGTGAGCTCGCATTTGAAATTTCATCATTGGTGAAATTGATTAAGGTAACAATTACGTTTACCGTAATTTTTCTAGAGAATCGAGATCCAAGGAATACAACTCCTCAACCTGCTCACACAAATGAAATCAAATAAGAAACACATCCAAGTCTGCATATGCCAATAGCAGGAATCCAAAACGAAGGATAAGATCGGGTCAAAGAACACAGACAAATGAATCTGTTTGAATTAGAGACGACCATGAGAGTACACTACAATAATGTCAGTCGATTCTAGAGCACCAAGTGAAAATGAAAATATTGGCAATACCTGAACTCCTTTAACTTGCATCTGTTGTATAAGTTCAGTGAAAACACCTGCAGTACAAGAACAAAATTAATATCGTGCATGTTATAGGTTTGTGCAGATTGAATTGGTAATCCACGGAATATTACATGTAAAACTGATTTTTATGCCCAACTGCTGAAGCGTCTGTCTATTACAGATATTAAAGTAAAGTGTCCAAAACAATATGCAAATACAGGTCAATCTAAGAAATATACATATCTATGTATATATAGTTTCTCACTACCATCTTGGATTGAGGACATGGACCGAATTTTCAAAATATATTCTAGAAATAATTACTAAGTGCATTTGAATTTCTCACAAGTACATGTTTGAGGTTCCCCTTCCTGTAAAGTAAACCTGAGTTTCAAATCAGCCTACTTTCTAAACCCAACTTGATTAAATAGCTCTTTACCGGACAACTATATATCACGAGTACATGTTGTGGTTGCCTCCACATTCCTAAACCAGCTTGAATGTATAACACTTTAACCAACAAAAGTAAATTGCAAATCAGCGCTCGCAATTGGCATTTCAGTAAGATCTTTATTAAACTAGGCAAGCTTTTAACCTAACTCCTGTTTAGTAGGGTTATACATGTCAATAATTGTTGCAACTACATGTTCGCTGTTGCCACGAGGAACAGATTCCATTGGAGGACATAGCACACTGCTTTTTGTCATCATTTCATAAGAAAACTTGTCACTTGAGAAATCAAATTGAATGTCTAAAGAAAAATGAGCTAGGCTCACATAGTAGCAAAGTCAGAGAAAGAATAAACTTTGGCTTTCTGTAACATTTAATGCAATTTGGTCAACTGAACTGCCAAGCCTAGGTAAAAACACTCCATGGATGTCAGTCAGTTTTCCATAGTAAGTAAAGGAGCAAGCAGCATTGGGAGCATTTGTGCAGTTCACGAAGATGGCAGAAAGATAGAGTGATTATCTACAAGACATGCTAAAGAATTGAATGCAGTGCAAAACTCCAACCACAAGATTCTCTGCACCTTAACAAGATGGTGCAGCATGAAACAATATCCTACAGACTAATCCAATTAAAATCCCTTTGAAGCTTGGAGCTAATCTTCTGGTTTATTTTCAGTCAGTTACATATTATCTCACTTCAATATTAACATGAAGACTATAAAGAAAAAACATAAGGTTATCCTGCCTAGGTGATAAATTAAAGGCATATGCAATCCTCTTCAACGCAAAATTTATAAAATGGTAACCTGAGCAAGTTATTGAAGTTATGCTTTAACTAGAAAAATAATAAAATTTGTCAACAACAAAATGATAATACAACTATGCAAGTACCTAAAGATCTACATCCAAACTCAAGGTGTGAAAACAAATACAAGCCAACTCAAATACCATTTAATACAAACACTGCTGATTCAGTGTCCACAGTGAAATGTGACGTTTCATTGAATTGCACTTATATGAAATTATATGGTAAAATTTTGGGCTCAAGGCAATTGGAATGACCACTATTATATATTAAACTATAGATTTTGCTAATGACCAATAATATGTATGAAACTAGAAAGATTGTTGATCTTCTTAACACTAGCATGCTGAAATGCATCTACAATATCAAGTTCGATGGTATAGTTCAATATCATGAAGCCCATCTTGTGAACCATTCACAAATATTCAGGTATTAACTTCAATAAAACATGTGTGCTCATTGCCAATGTTTTAACAATTTAAGAGCAAGAATGACCAATGTAACTGGTGATATCAAGCCATCTTTTCTAGCAACTCGAAGATCAAAATCCTTCTTACAAATGTTCATGACACAAAGCATAGTAATAAGTTAGTTCTCTTCAAATTTACCCTTTTCCAAAGAAGATGGACATTTACATTCAAAATCGAGAGACAGTCATGTCTTTAGAGACAAAATTACAAAAGAATACACATACCTGGATCCGACTCAATGGTGCACCAAGACATGATTGTATATCCAATTACTGCAAAAGTTACAGTAACAAAGATTAGGTAATGACATGTGCAACAGACCCAATAAAAATCGGTCAAAAACCCAGAGTTAGAGCAGATAACAGAACCTCAAGCAACAAGTCGGAGAAACACGTAAGTTCAACACCAAAAGAGAACCCAAGTAAAAAAAATTGGACCTTGATGGCAAATCAGCTAAATGGTAGTCGATGCTTTTTATACAGCAATTCGTTAGGACCAAAATCTGAGTAGCTTAGTAAAGTGGGAATGTATCTGCTTACCTTAAAATCCCGACGACGGAGCGGCGGCGTGAAAAGCGGTGGCTCAGCGCTGAAAATAAGCTGTTGAGGTCGGAAGCAAGGTTATGTGGTTTCGGACTTTGGGTGACTGGCAAGTGGCTGTTTCGGGCGGAATCGGTGACGGCAATCCCGGTCGACCTTTCAGATGAAAAATACGAAAATTTGTTATTTGTTGTAAAAATATAAAGAATAATTTTATGATAATGAAGCTATAATTTATACTAGATTAATAGTTAATCATGTTTACATATGCAAATAAAAATAAATTATATGCGTAAATATTATATTTATAGTAATAAATATATAATATACATATCAGATTTTATAAATTTGATCATTAGTAGAAATGAATAATATAATTATACTATTTTAATTATATATGTGATGTGGGATATTATACGACTAAGGAGCAGACCGGTTCGTTATGCCGGTCAGGCAGGCATAGGAGAGAAAACTACGTGGGTTGAAGGATGATCGACCAAAATGGAGGATGTCGAGCAGAACAGCAGAGTTGGTCGAGAATCGACCTAGCGAGGGGGAGCTCGATCATATCGGGCATACGACAGGTAGGAGGTAGTCGAGAGCGTGACCTGAACGCGAGTAGGCGCGTGAGTGATGTCAGGAGATCCCAACGGCTTGCGCAAGGGAATAATTCCCCTCAGCTCAGAGGGGGGCACGTGGCGAAAACGTATTGGTGCAGAGTGATAGTGGTAGCAACCACCTCTGACACCCCTGACATTTCTGACAACACGTACACTGTGTGTGTACGGACGGGCAGCGCGGGCAGGACAGCTCACCAATATCCGGGCAGCTTTTAGGGCAATTATCTCACTCCTATATATATAGGAGTGGGTCTTTTCTTAGGGTTTACGATTTATCCATTCTTTACTTTGGAAAATTGAACAAACATATACTGACTTAAGCATCGGAGGCTCTTCACCGAAAAACCCCTCCGGTGTGAGAGTTCTGTGCAGGAGCGCGGCGTTCTATCGGCGAGGAAGAAGGAAGCAAACCGATTTCAAGCCGGTTGGAGTGTTTTGTGTTACCATTTGGCGCCGTCTGTGGGACTTTCGTTCGAAAAGTGGTGTGCTGATATTTTTGAAGCTTGGTAGCTATGGCAGACGGAATTCCTAGGAGAGATTTACAGGCATCGTTCGATGAGGCGTGGACGATGACGAGGCCGTTTGGAGATGGCCCACCTCCGGGCTTCTCTGGACCCTTGCGTACACCGGTGACTCCGACGCCTGTTCCCCAAGGTGTAGAAGTCACGTCGGTGCAACCAGAGGCTGATGTGGGCTCAAATCGGGCCCAGGAGACCCGCACAGCTCGAGGCGCGGCGGCCCCAACGCCGCCGCAACCAGATCTGGCTGCGACGCTGCAGCGAGGAGTGGCAGTACAAGGAGCGGTACCGCTGCCGATGGAGGAACAGCGTCCCGGCCAGCAGGTGGTGATGACAAGGCAGGAGATGCAGCAGATGGTGGCGAACGCGGCGGCACAAGCGGTTCAGCAGGTCACTCAAAGCCTTTCGCGAGTGGCTGCTGGGCCAACGATGGTGGATGAGGACGTGTCGAGCTATGGGGGAGATGGGGCCCTAAGAGATCGTGAGGTGGAGCAGCTCGCGGAGCAGGTGAGGCAGATGCAGGCTAAGATAGATGGTCGACCTGAAAGACGTGCTCGAGGACATCCGTTCTCGAGGGATATATTGGCTGCGCCATTACCCGCGAATTTTAGAGACATGAGTTTGATGTTCGATGGGACCACTGACCCGTCGAGGCATGTAAGGGCGTTTGAGAATTTGGCTGTGTTGCATGGTTATTCTGACTCGGTTAGCTGCAGGGCATTTGTTGATATAAAGATAAAATACCTCGATGTAAAGATATAATTAAAGAAATCGCGAAAGATTAATGCATAAGCTGGATCCTGGACGACGTCGAGCAGCACATGTTGCAGCTCGGAAATCTCATTTCGGTACCAGTAAATGATCCCGAAGGATTTTTTGGGGAGTCATCAACACAAGTCGTCTGGACCTTGGAAAAGCCCAAGTCGGTCAAAGGATTATTTATTAACAAGTCGTAGAATATTGAAGGTCTGGCAAAATACCGACTTCGCAAGGCAAACCGAACTCATTCCGACAGATGTGACACTCGTCACACAGATAGAGGCGCGCCCATACTAATCATTGCCTACAAAATTCTTTTACGTCATCGCCGCCCCTAAAATGTCAAATCCTCATTAAAACGGGAATGATTTGTCTAGGGATGTGTGCCAGACATACCTATAAATAGTAGCTCCAAAGACGAAAGAAGGGTTCGAAAAAAGATCATACACACTCGTATATTCACCTCGGATATCTCATTGTAAACCTACCTGAAGTATACTGAAAAACCGACCTCTTTGTACTGAAACCGACTTCATAATATTCAATAAAATTCTCATTTTCTACCATCTTTTGTGGGAAATTTACGTTATTAACGTTGATTTAATCCGTTTATCAACATTTTGGCGCTAGAAGGAGGGCTCCATAAGATATTTGGAGTTAATTTTCGAAATATACACACCACATCTCACAAAAATCGAGAATGTCGCAGTCCGGACAAGACAATCCAACCACCATGGGAAGCGCTGTTCGTGTTGTTGAACCACCAACCGGTCAACACAACCCAGTACCTGTTATGCCGGACATTACCCTGCTCATGCAAAATCCTGAATTCGCTCGTGGACTCAATGCTTTGGTGGCCCAAACCATGCCGGGGCCATCACACAGAGCACCAGGACAACCTTTTGCTCCCATAACTCCGGCAAGACAACAAGGTCTTCCCCTACCAAGAGATAACAATAATCAAGCGGCGTCCCACGCTACTTCACAACCACGCAATCCACCCCCTCCGCCGGTGAACAACGTACTGCCGGCGGAAATGAATCAACCAGAAATGGTTGCTGAAAGTCACCCTCGACAAGCTGAAAGTTACCCTCAGCATATGCCCAGAGTCCCCCGTGCGGTACGTTCATTATTTCAACCAAACGAGAACCCGGCTGACCTGAGAACGCAAATTGAGCGTAATCGTTCCGCTCGACGTAACGCTTCCGAGGTCGAGGCGTTAAGAAGAAAGGTGGCGGAGCTGGAAGCCCGGCAAAACACTCAAATCAGGCCTTATCAGCATCCTCACGTGCCAGAATCGGGCCATGTCTATATGGAAGTCGGTTCTCCTCTAGCAACCGAGTTAACTAGAGGGCCGTTACCGGGAAAAGTCAAAGTCCCCCAAATTGGCCTCTACGACGGAAACGCGGATCCTGATGCTCATCTCGGACATTATACGTCATGGATGGACTTGCATGGTGCTGACGATGCTTTACGATGTCGTATGTTTTCCTTGACCTTAGGTCCCAAAGCTCAGAAGTGGTACTATTCGCTACCGACTGAATCGATCAGATGTTGGGGTCAACTCAGGTCAGCTTTCAGGTCCCATTTCATCGGGGCTCAAATTAGCTTGATACCTAAGGAATCGATTACGAACATAGTCCAAAAGGAGGACGAAAGTTTAAAGGACTATATTGCACGTTTTAATGAACGCGTGCAAAACATGGAACCTTGTCATCCTGAGACACTTCTTGTCTCAGCAATCTCTGGATTAAAGCCAAAATCCATGTTTCGCTGGGCGCTGTGTCAGAACAAACCCAACACCTTTCAAGAGTTCCTTGTTCGCGCTCAACAACATGTTATTGCCGAAGAATCCATGTCGGTTCCCGACTTTGAATTCTCCTCATCAAAAGAGCAAAAGCCAACTTCTGAAAACAAGAAAAAGAAGTACCTCGGTAACTCGTCTAAGAATTCACCCTCCAAAGAATCGTATAAAGGAGAACAGAGCGATACCGATATAAAAGCTGCCAGGAGACAATACAAGGAAGATCTAACCACGGGTTACCGATCCATCTACTCGGTCGGGGCCGCAACGGTGTATCAAGAGATCAAGGGAAAAGGAATCCTTCCCGAAGCTAGACCAGTCAAGACCCCCGAAAGTCAATTGGACAAGTCGCGGTATTGTGACTATCACCGATCTCCAGGTCACAATACCGATGAATGTCTGAGTCTATTGTCGGCCCTTCTGAAGTTGATTGGAAATCCACAAGTGAGAAAATTTACCAAACACGAAGTTAAAGAAAGGAGGCAAATGGCTCATGTTCCTGACCGAGATGAAGAAGACGAAGATGCGATGAATCCCAAAAGAATTCGTCTACAACAAGGAGAGAAGGAAATATTCATGATCGGGGCAGAAGGATCCAGGTCGGCTGACGACCGACTTGGAAAAAGAAACAGGGACTGTGATAGCCCCAACTCTAACCGCACTTCTCAAATCCCAATTCGGTTAGGCTCTGTCCCCCGAGTTAACACTAACCGAGAAGAGCCAACGTCCTCACGTCGGCAGGCCAAAGCATACGCCAGGAAGGCATACAACTCGGGGAAACAAATAATGAATACCGATCTTCGGGAAACAATCAACTCGCGCACATGTCCGATCACCTTCACATTAGAAGATGCGAGTTTGTTTGATCATCCTCATTCAGATGCATTAATCATAACCGCCCCAGTTTGCGGGATTCCCGTTCATCGTATAATGGTGGACACCGGTGCATATTCAAGTATCATTATGCTTCAAGCCTTCAGGAAACTCGGACTTGATACAGCCGACGTTCGCCCAAGCAATGATAAAATACATGGATTCAATGGAAGCGTGTCCCATCCGTTAGGAGAAATAACTCTCCCTATCAGGTTCGGATATGGGCAGACTTCCAAGGTTATCATGGAAAATTTCAAAATCATGGACATCAACAACGAATACAACGCCATCATCGGAAGGACAGCCCTGTATAAGTTGCGAGCAGCAGTGTCCATTTTCCATTATTCGATCAAGTTTCCCACCGCTGATGGTGAGGGGACCCATTATGGCGATCAGTTGGGAGCCCGTGAGCTAATCTTAGCCATCCCTTCTCGAGAGATCCATAATTTGGAGATGCATGTTGATGAAAATGAAAGAATGATCGACTGTACCCGAGTTCCACAAAGTCTAATTCCTGAAGACATCCCAGATGTCAATCTCAGGGTCGCCACGACTCAATCGGAGATCCAGTTGACATCGGCATTTCCGACTTCAGACCCATCCGAAGCTATTACAACGCTAGTAGAAGTTCAGCCGACGTCAATAGTCCCGACTTCAAATCCCAATGAGGAAGACCTTACCCGAGATAGAGGAAGAAGACCTGGAAAAGAACCCGTCGTGGAAGAAGATGAGTTAGACCCACGAAGTCAATTCAAAGAGAAGAAGCAAGAAAAAAGAGCTGA